GGCAAGGGCACTGCTCCTTTTTCATGTCTCCTGCTTCAAAAATACCTAATGTCTCTACAAACGTAATGGATATAATCTGCCTTGGATAGAAGGCCAAAGAGAAACCTTAAAACACTAATGAAACAGAAACACATTTTTAACTTGTAGTCAAAATAACTACATTAATTTGTCACTATTACTTACAATATTATTTTAAATCTTTGATTTTTAGCTTCAGTTCTGACGGTATAATAACAGCATATGAACATAATGTTTACTCCAAACAAATGACTTTTTATCTGGCAAATGGTGAATCAATGAGCACGTCTTAGATTTGAATTTGGGTGTAAGACATTTCTTTGAAAGTTGAACCTACATCCTTCATTTGACTGTGTACGCATTTAGTTCCCATTGATGTAGATCTTTTTTACGGTAATATAAAAAAATAGTGTTCTTGATGTTTTTGCATTAAATTGTTATTTATTTTCCTGTGCTAATAATTGATAAATCACGTTTATGAATTCATTGATATTTTATAATTACTCATCCTAAACATCTTAAATATTAATATAAATTGTATTTTAGGCAGTGTCACCCCTAATAACAATAATAAAGTTAATTATTAAACTTGCTGTATGGCTACCACTGTGAGAATCAGCTCAAGGACTTTTCTATTTTATTTTATTTCTGCCATGTTCAGGTGATAACTAGGCACAATATTTCCGAGGTGTCCAGGATTTTCTTGCAGAGTAATCTGATGTTCTGTGAAATAATAGTTCAGATCGTTTACTATATACTATATATACTTCTTCTATACATATATAGAGAGAGACCGAGAGCAAGATATTTGTATTATTTGAAAGTTCTAAGTTACTTATCCAAAATACCAAAGTCCGTTTTTATGTTCTCAATACATTTATGTGAATTTTGGGCTTAGACGCAGCAGTAAATAATGGAAATGTTTCTCTAAAAATAATGACCGTCATTACGAAAAATGATGGTTCGTACTAATATCCGTATTTCCAATTTCTTTCGCATTAAATCTAGTTATATATACGCACATAGTTCACACAAAATCTAGTTTTCACATCTAGCTATCAGCCACACGATAGGAAAATCTGATCAGTTTAATATCAAATCATATAAAAGTAAAAATGCGATATCTCTATTTGAAAAAACTTTGAAGTGACTTGAATAAAACAGTAGACTTGAAAATGGGTTTAATGTTTTCTTGAACTTTGATTCCATGTATTTAGATCAAAATAGCATTTTTTGCATACATCTTGGCAACGAAACAAAAGAAAAAATAAAAATGATATTTTAGAGATAAATTTAAGCACCTTATGAAATATTAATGTATTATACATTATGAATTTTATACGAACATTGAAGTCAGTTTTTTTCAGTGCACAATATGTGCTTGGAATTGCGATGACAGCACTTTTTGCGATTCGAAAGGCAGGCGGTAGTCTGTCCGTAAGATTTCAACTGTAATCCTTTTATACGTTTCCACATACATTAGCATACAAAAATACTATAGCGTATTAGTTGACCAAATTTTTGTAACACATAAATCAAAATGTCTCATTTTCAGGCACTCCGAGAATCTACTTTCCAAGAAGCGTAAAAAGCTTTGGGGCCTTTTCAGGCCTGAAAATGAAAGTAACTTCCTGGATGATGAATATGAATACAGAACAAGGCAGAAAATGTTTTGTATGCTACAGCCGAAAATTTTGAGACGGAGAGAAAACAGTAGTTACCAAGAAATAATGAAGAATTTAATCGAGCTAAAACTAGTGAGTTCTCTGCAATGGACTCAATTTAATATCCAGTGTAACCAAACGATAAGCGATATTCAGTTTAAAAATCTTTGCGAGATAGTTTCTAATTGAGCAACTTTTATATATTTTATACAGAATTAAAACTGTTGTGAAAATTTTTCCTAATAAGGTGAATATTAATATGTTATAGATAAAATAATATTAATGATTTATGAGAGATTTTATAAAAAGCATCAACAGAACACAATATATAACTCTTCTTTAATAATTTAATACAGTAATTTTTTATTTAATATTTACGGCCGAATTTATAGGCATTTAGTAATTTTTTCTGCATTAATTTAAAGATAACATGATAGATAATGGATTTTTATTAAAATATTTTTGACAGCATCTAAGAATTCTAAAATATTAAATCACGTATGACGCTATACCGTTTTATAGCCATAAAAATTGCCACAATTCATCTCTTTAAATGTAAATTCCATTTAATTCTTAACTTTTACATATGATGCAAATATTTAATATTTCATATATTTACATCACGAATGAAAATTATACGTGAAATGTTCATTAAATTTAAAATGCTTATTCTTCAGAAAAGTAACCTTTTCTAAGCTCAAGAATTATTAACATTGAAGTTCATCATATCTTTCTGTTATTTGAACTTCAGGGCTGTAAGGTGAAACAATAATAGCAACTTTCCTAATAAATTCATGCATTTTTTCAACCATATTCATGAGAATGGAGACCACTGAATCTGGTGCATATGAGTAATGCAGTAGAGGTGACTTAATAAAAATGCATACTTTTGGATGGATATTAATGGCCGGTATCCCATGTAAATTACGTTGGTAGTGCAGATAACGGTCTTTAAGGTATTTATACTTTGACATTCATTTTAATTTATTGTGAAAATTTTTTATACAAATTAACTTTATGTTACATTATTACAGATCTAATTTTTCACATCCTTTTTTGAAATTTCTATTACCAGTGGACCAAGCAGACAAAGGATTTAAATGAAAAGTACATTTCAGTTTCCATATCAATACTTAAGTTAACATACCTATAGTGAGACAAATTTTCAAGCTTTGCATTTGTTCACAGTAACAGAAAGAAAATCCACTCCTGTTATTAAGCTTCTGTGAATTTCTACCTGGCACGAATAACTTAAATAATATCAGAATACAAGTTACAACATTTTTTTAATCTATGAAAACATGGCTTTACAAGCATATATATCTCAACATTTTAATTCAATCAATTTGTATAATAACACATAAACACTAATTTATTTCTTCCTCCAGTATTAGGTAGCCCACCAGCGGCCGAGCGGTAAAGTCGCTGAACTCTGGTAGTTCGGTCCGAGTTTCTAATCCCGCGAACGGGCATGGCTGCATGGGCGGTTTCGTGGTTTTTCCCATGTGTAAACGTGTATACGAGCCAGTTTTCCTTAGAAAGTCCTCCCCGTAGGCAGATAACCCTCGTGTGCTTTGCCATAATTAAATACACCACTCCTTCAGTATTAAATTTTTCTTATTATTAAAATTTTTATTCATTATATCATTTTTACGTAGCATTTTGTACAATTTTAACACAAAAACATATTTTTATAACCAAGCAATGATTTTTATTTAGACAGGCAGACTGTGTGAACAACAACTGTGTGTATATAACTAGCAACAGTAGATTTCGTTTTCTAAAGTCACATGACATTTCATCTGGTTAAAAGATGGAGGGTCATGTGACTGAATGTTCCGCATATTCTGCGAGGATTTGGTGCATTAAGTACGGCAAAAAAAATTGTATCGCGTATGGGACTAATTCCACTGTTGAAAGTACGGCAAAGAAAATGGTTCTGTTTGTTCTGGGAAAATAATTTGACTCATCTGGTAATCCACGTTCCAAAAGATAATTAAATTTTGGCCAATATCGCTTAATGTTCACGAGAAGCCGTGTCAAACATCGTGGAAATTGGTACAACTTAAACGTAATGTGACTACTTAACTATCATGCACCATTTGCATTTTATGGTCAAGGTATAAGCCATAACCGCACTTATGCACCGACAGAGTACAATATTTGTTTCAGCATGTAAACTCCATACCTGTAATTCTTAGGGGAATTTTATATATCTTAATATTTAATTGCACTAAAAGCTAAGTTTCTCCAAAACTTAAAGACAAGATAATAAGGATCGAAATAATAAAAAAATTTAATAATATAAAATTTGAACAAATTTTACTTTGTAGAAAAAGGAAAAACGTAATGAAAGATTGTCCGAATTAAATTCAAGGTTTAAAAATTACAAGATTTAACTCTTACTCTTTGAGAGAACGAACTCTTCCATTATCTATAAAGGAATTTCTATAAATTTATTTCACATATTTAAATAAATCTAGCTTTCTAGAAACTGTGTTTCTGTCTTTAAGAATCGGGGTAAATAAGACCTATAACTTTTCAAATTTCTGTAAAAGTTTATTAAATTTTGCATATGCATGCGCATTATAATCAAGATATTTTATTCTACTGTTTAACAGATTTAAAGCTCTGTTTACCTGTCTTTTTTGATCGACTTTTGAATAAGCGAGTATTTATTTAGCTAATATTTCAATGCATATTATTAATAGACAATGCTCCGGAAACAACAACTCGACTCTCAGCTCTAAGAAAGCAGAATCTTATTAAGCAAAGCAGTTATAAAAAGAATTAATAATATGCTGAAAATAATAAGTTAAATCAATTGACCCTGTTTCATGTATGTATTTTGCACTTCACAATGACTATAATAGTGGAAACTGAATTCTTCCACTAGTTAAACGGTATTTATTCTTACAACAAATCTTTCCAGCTCAACAAAAATATAAATTAAAAAAAAAAAGATTAATTTCGAGATCGTTTATCTCAAACTACTGTGGACAGTGAAAAACAAGAGCAACAATGTGCCTCTCAATTGAATAAAAACATTTGGGTTACTCCCAGCTAATGATCTCGCTATTTGTTTTATTTTTCGAAACATTTATGTACGTATTATCTGTTTTTTACCAGTCTTAGTTTTCCGTTATTTCGTGGAAGATGTAGGGCAAGAGAGATCCATGCCCTGTAGGCTTTGTAACACTTAATTGACAACTGGACCCAACCCTTTTCCCCGCACTTTCACTGAAGACAACGGCTTAAAGTAGATCAAACGGAAGAGTTTTTTTATGCGCCTGAAGCCAAAGGACACCCTCTCGATAAATATGGTTTAAAGGTTTAGGAATGTGTTCACCCAAGGCTAATTTAGAACCATTGCACATACTTCGGTCTCAGACTATATAAAGACGGAGAGGAAAGCTGAAGAATCAGAGCATTCCCTGTGGACTTAAAACTATCGCACACCATGAAGACCGTGGTGAGTAGACTAAAGACATTTTCTTGTTCAAATGCGATTAGAGGATTCATGCAAACATTTCTGCTATAGTTTAAGCTGTTATACCTCAAACCTTTGAATATTTTTCAAGTGACTGAAGAAAAAAAATTTGGAAGAAGCTGATTATATTGCTACCGAAAATATTTCTTTTATACTTTCTCATGGATTACATCTTTAGAGAAAAACATACTGCTTAACGTCTGTTTCGTAATCTGATTCCTTGTTTTAAGCAAAATTGCTGTAGTTCTCTAAAATTATTCATATGAATCCAATAATCGTTCAGTGTGCAGTAAAACATTTACGGAGTAAAAAATTAATTTAAACAGAAATCGGTAGTGTTATTGCCATACTTCTTTTCCGCTTTTAGACTCAAATTAGATTAACGTAGTTTGCTTTTAAACAGAGATGTTATTGACGAATGTATCTAAAAAGCTGAAGCCACTAAACTGCTCTAAATTTTCGCAGTTGAAGTTTTCTGCAGCTTTCTTTGCATGAAAAGATTGTTAAAAGCTGAAAAATCTTCTGTGCCATCCATGAAGGAAATTATTATTTAGATACTGCTGTGGATTACTTATTCAAAGATTAATATATAGCTTAATACTTAACTTTCTATCCATGTTCTCAAGTAAAGTTACTGTTTCTGTAGATTTAGGTAGTTCTATAATGATAGTACATAAATAATTTATTCCATATAATTTTTTAAAAATATCAAGAGAAATAACTGTCATTATATTTGTATTTCTTTGTTTAATATATATTACATATAATGATGACTTTTGATGCTTACATTTGGAGAAGGTTGTTAAAGGTGAATATAAACGCATAAAATTGATATATAATTTAAACAACGAATTTTTAGCGCGGTTAAATTACTTTACTTGCATTTAGTGAATATTACTTTGAAATGATGCAATATAAATTACAAACAGAATTTTCCTTCTATTTGTTGACTATGAGAAAGTAATTTTATCAATTATTTAATGCATTAAAATTCTTATGAATGTTAAGCTAATTAATTAAAATAACCATAAAAGTCTATGTAACTTGCTAGTATTGCTTTGTTTTCCGCCTTTAACTGTGCTTAAGTCTTAGCTGTAGTGCTTTAAAATTAAATGAACGAAGGTATAACAGATACAAACTAAACAATTAGCAACCATACTACTTAGAGGGGAATAAATACTAAGCCGTATATAATTTTCCCAAAATAATTGGCTCGTTTCCATTATTTCATGCGAGAGAAATAGTGAAATGTGTTCATCCTGTTACTTCCTACCTGGAATTCAAATATAGAGTAAAATGGATACTATTCGATTAACTGTAAAAAAGCAAGCCAGTTTCATTATCTTTAATTTATAGCTATGTTTTTAGTTAAACAACTTGGATCAAAATCCAGCTGCTTTAATCCTGATTTGTTTCCATAAGCTTAATTCAGTAATAGTTCAACTCGGGAAAAGTTGCGAAATCTATCACATACTTCACAGTTGAATAGAGTTCTCAAATAATTGTGAACGTATAATATTTATATATTTAAAAATATTCTTAGCAAATGAAGGTGATGCATCGGAAATTTCAGAATATAATGAATGTTTCAATATTTAATATAGGAATAGATTTTGGCCAATATATTAACTTCGGAGACAACTATTAATAGATATTACCTCGCAAGTTTCCTGCCTCATAGAGTAAGCTCTAGATGGTAAATAAAAGGACGGAAATAAGAGAATCAATATAAGTATCCCTCGGCTTCAAAAAAGGAAGTTATCTCTGAATGAATTATTATAAATGACAAAACAGATACCTTAACTGAATGATTAGATTTTGTTTTAAAACTTTGATTTCCAGGTCGGAAACAGATATAAGAATATTTACGCTGTTTCTTTTACAAAACGATCCTGTGGCTTTGCTACGTTTTAAGCATCACACGCATTCCCAAGCAAATTGTTCCCTTCCTTTCCTTAAAGTCAGTTCTTAATTTAATTACTTCATGCATGCAAGGAAACCTAGAATTCTCACATAAATAATGGGAATATCTTAAATCTATACTACTGTTTCCATGTCATTGTATGTCTAACTATAATGTGAGAAAGTACCTTTTAAACGAAGTATAAATTTATTTTCTATCTATTACAAAACTCGTGTAATTTTTTGTTCTTTAAGCATGTGAGTTGCGGTGAATTAAAGTCGAAAAAACCATTTATTTCAATAGCTATATATCAGAATTTAGCCTGGCTTTATAATTATGGAATATTGCAGTTTAATTAAGCTTTATAAATTTCATTAAACTGATAAAAGAGGAATTTTGCCTCTCTTTGATATGATTAAGTAAAGCTAAACTTCTTTGTTCATTCATACTTTTAACTACTGCTCCGATATTACAAGTCTTTCTTATTTAACTTACATAGAATAGTAATGCTTAGTAAGTTAGTGAGTATAAATTCTTCTTGATAATGTAATACTAGTGAAATTCACAGTAGCTAACTGTGCGCACCAAGGAAACGCTAATTATTTAAGTTCATTATTCAAGAAATGCTATTGCACTGAACGAAGGTGAACTTCCTATAAGATGTTTTCACGTCTAAGAACATCAATAGTATGAAACAATACGCAACTTGTTCTTATACCTTAAATATCGTTAGTACTTCAATTTTGGTACATACAATGCTATGATAAATACGACGCTTAAATAAATCAGCAAAAATTTTTAAGTTAAACTCCTGTTACTAGATATTATATTTATCCTTTATGCAACATATGTAATTTTATATATCTTACTTCTTCCACACAATGTCCCCTGTTTCTATGTAAATATTGAAAAAACAATTACGTCTTTTTTGAATTACAATTACTCCACAATAATATTTTTTTTCTAATTACTAATTTAAACCCATTTGCTTTTGTTTTTAATATTATTAGAGTTTTCTATTATTAGAGAACTTATTCGTTTTATGTATTTTAGCGTTTTAATGAAGCAATCCAATGTAAAATTTAGAAGAAGTAAATACGAAATTATTGATGATGCAGTTTTTATCAAAGCATTGTAGACATAATGAGCATTCGCATAAGTTGATGCAACTTGATTCTAACCATGGCTTGATGTGTATAACAGGAAGCATAAATATTAAGTTTAAAACACGTACCTTCATGATGTACGATAAATATTTAGCTAGAAATCCTGTACAAGGTTACTTATTATGAGTAACTGTTACAAGTACTTCTAGTGAATAATATATTAAGTGCACAGAGAAAATATTACATTAATTCCTGTTATATGTTACACTGAACATTTACTATTATTTAGCTTTTCCTGGTTACATAAGCTTTATCAATATGTTCTAATTATTCAAAGCTCTATATGACGCTGAAATTTGAAATCATTTATGCTCTAAAACAATCCCAGTGAGTTAAATATTGTTCAAGTAACAATGGTAGAAACCGCTGGTTTTTTATTTCTATTTATTGTATGGGGCCCACCAGCGGCCGAGCAGTAAAGTCGCTGAACACTGGTAATTCGGTCCGAGGTTCGAATCCCGCGAACGGGCTGGCTGCATGGGCGTTTTCGTGGTTTTCCTCATGTGTAACGTGTATACGAGCCAGTTTCCCTTAGAAAGTCCTCCACGAAAGGCATCCATCCCCTTAGGCAGATAGCCTTAGTGTGCTTTGCCATAATTAAATACACAATACACACACTATTTATTGTATGAACTTTTTAATTTGATTATTTATATTAAATTAAAGTTATTTTGATATAAAATAGTACTTAAATTTAAATCATGAAAATTATAAATAAATTAGCTCATATTTTAAAACTAAGAACTAATCATGAATGCACTTTTTTATTAAAAACGAAACATTCCCAAAACTATTTAATACATTTACTTAAGACCTTTATACTTGTTTGAAGAGGATCATCATAACTGATATCATACATTGCTGGTATTGAAAATCTACGCATTTTCTGAAGCAGTCTACATTTACAATGTGTTCTTATACTTCTCATGCAACCTTAATAAAATTTCTTGATACATAACTGAAATATTCGATTTTATTCATTGAATGCGTAACTAAGAAAATAAAAGTAACGGAGAGTAAAGATAAAAAGAACGTTAAGAAACTTAATTAATTATTTTCCTCATTCAGCTTACAAAATGCATTTCATTACAGAATAATTTCTGTATTTCATTGCAAAATAATGAAATATCACTTTAAAAGTAAATATTACTTTAAATTACTTAAATCAGTAGCATTTTCACTTGAAATGGAAATATAGCTTTACCAAAATTCTGAGAAAGATGATAAATAAAGAGATGAAGTATTCTGATTTATATCTTTATTTCTTTTTATCACCAAAAAAATTATGATAGTTGAAAACTAGAACTTGAACTGGACTAGAACTGGACGAGAACTAGAACTGGACGAGATGTTATGGCATCGAGATTATTAAAATGCTTTTCAAACTAAAAACTGAAATTTCTAAAAATATGTTGTTATTTGTCAAGTAATTTGAAAAATGAAGCTGCTGCCATTTAAAATAAGCATTATAGTGAACACAAATTTAAAATAGTTTGTATGTGCTAAAAGTTAAATTCCATCATTTAAAGGTTTTGTTAAGAGGCATAAGCGAAATCATTTTGGGGAAATAATTTCTAATTGCTCTGCATAATATTCTAACGAGCATTTGCTTCACTTTAATAGAATTTTCATGTTACTAATATTTCATCTATTAAATAATTTAATTTCATCTCATACATTTAAATAAATATTTTTTTTATGTAAGCATTTGAAACAGGAATTTTTTTATCTCTCCGCACTACAATAAGCAAAATTTTTGTAATGCAATAAAATTTCATTGTTTCAGATCCTAGCCATTGCTGTTGTTGCATTTGCAAGTGTTGCTCTGGGAGGAGTGATTAAGGATTATCATCACGGTCTGGACGACTATGGTCATAGCGATCTCCTTCTTCACGGCCACGGTCATGTTTATGGGGGTCACCATCATCAAGTTATCTATCCTGTCGTGAAACATGTGTCTGTGGTGAAAAAAGTTCCCGTCGTCAAGCATGTACCAGTCATCAAGCACGTACCTGTTGTTAAACACGTTGCAGTTGTAAAACACGTTGATGTTGTGAAGAAAGTACCAGTTGTGAAACACGTCACTGTTGATTTGGGGCATCATTACGATGATCATGGTCTCGATCTCCATGGTCACGGACATTATTCTAAGTTACTCAGTCATTATTAATTTCTGAAAAAAATACAAAATTAGTCTTTCTCATTTTCACTTCTTACTGATAATCCACCTCATCAGTTCTGGAGAACTGAGCTCTTTTAAAGGACTCTTTTCCCTCTTTATTTCTCCGGCTGGACTAGTTGTATATGATTTCACTTCTTTACCTATGTAAAAACTCATGAAACTATTTTGAATGTAAATAGTATTACGTTGGGAAAAAATAAAAGATTTTATAAAAATGTAGAGAGTTCCTGCTTTAATTCTACTGTAATTCTAAGGTAAATTTGTTCACCACAGAAGTTTGTTCATTTTATCAGAATTGAAAGTACAAATTTCTCAGTTTCTAAGACCCTAGTAAAATATATTTTGCTAAACAAAAGCTTAAATATATTTTTAATATAGTTAAGATAGCAAGCTCCTTGACAAATACTCATTTTTTTAAATAATAATGATAATTTTTATTAGTTTTTGATCGCATGGCAGCGGGGGGCATTTCGAAAGGTAAGTTTAATATCACACTCTTAAATTTAGATTTTTAAGTAAATCTTATGCAATTTAAATTATTTAACAAAGGACTATATTTGATTAATTTGTTTATTGTTCATAATACACATGTGCGTTTCTTATGCATAAACGCTTAGGTATTATATTTTCTGGGTACAGAAAGAAACTGTTATGATCTAAAATAAACATTATAATTTCAGAAAAGATTAGAATGTTCAAAAGCATGAGGCTAATTTTAGTAAAATATGCAAATAAGAATGAAGTAACAGTGAAATTTAAGCATTACTTTACTAATGACGACACACAGTGAAGGCGATATGGATTGATGTGTTCGTAGACATTACGAATATATCTTTACACTCTTATTAATTTTGACAGTAACTTAATAATAGTATCCAAAATAATTTAATGGTGGAAATCTAATAATTTTGGACTTGAAGTAGTTCTAAATATTGGAGCTAATAATAAGTAAATTGTAATAAAAAACTTTGAAATAATTTAATTTTTTCATATTGAATTCACTGCCTCACTGTATTCATTCCGCTGCAATAAAAAACTTGAAATAATTCTAATCATTCACATTGAGCGAAATATGTATGTATACTATGATAATGGAAGAATTAAGAGACAATGCCTATCAACAGATATTGGCCAATTTTTATTACCCGGCAAAAACTACATTTAGGTGTAAAAATATTTTAAATTACTCAGACTTTTCTCATTTTGCCATAATTCTTTATTTGCCTTCATTATGCTGAACAAATATCTTGCTTTTAAAAGCAAACAGAAAATCGATACACGCATCTTGCGCACTGTGTATGCTTTGTTCATTAGAAAACCGTGCTTGCGTTTGATATTAAAAGAGAGTTTAAATTTATGAATTATTCATCTATTAATGTAGAATTAGGGATGCATTAACCTATTTCCTATCAGTGTTATACCCCTCCTCTACATACATATGTTTAAGCTAATGGTAAATCTAGTGATTTATTTATTCTATGGTCATACGCAAAAGTCACCTCTACTCTTACTATTATTTTCTGCTCTTTCACGCCATCTTCAGTCTATATTTGTAATTAAAATAAAAGGGAAGTATTTCTAAATTATAATTTCTAGAAATAGATTTTACATACCGTATTAATGCTAATCAATTAATGGTATGATAATTTTATTTAAATTTAGATACCATATTTTATACAACAATGGATTTATACATAAAGTAGTAAAACATAGAATTAACCTATTAGTGGGCAATTGTTATGTGAAACAATCACTGTTAATTACCACTACCGTATATACGGTATCTATCGTAAAATATGAACATGAAATAAATCGTAACATTTCTATCTAGCTAACAGTTTCTACAATTAGTGATTAATAGTAAACGTCTTTATTCACTGTTTTCATCACTGGAATCCTCGTAGCTCTTTTCGTCAGACGCAGATTCATTTCTTCTTTCCTCATCATCATCATCAGCATCGTCATCCTCGGCGTTCTAGAGCTCGTCATCTTCACTGCCATTCAATGAATTTGAAATGCAGCATTTCTTGAAAGATTTCACAAATCTTTGGTGCTTCGATGCTTTTCCAGGCAGCAGAAACTCAGTGCAACAATGTGCGGTGCAGCACGCTTAATTTTACCTGTCGGCGTCAATTCACGGTCATCGGCGAACTTTGCACTCGAATCTAATGCGCCATCGAATTTAATGCGCACCCCAATTTTGAATACTACATTTGGCCAAAAACGATGCGCATTAGATTCGCGTAAATACGGTATTAAATAATATGTGTTATATTAATTAAAATGCTAGTAATAATACATTCTACAAATAGCAATAAGTTCAAACAAATGTTTATCTCGGGTTAAACATTTATAAGAATATTAAAAAGTTTATAGAAAGTTTTTCTTGATAAGTTACACAAGAGTATTTTTACATCTCAATGAGTATCTGAATAAGTTAGCAAAGTAACACAAAGGTTTATATGACATGGATAACATATTTATACATGAATAATACATATGTTCTTTCATTACATTATTATTTTATATAACTAAAACTTCGTTATTTAAAAATTTTAATAAAACTGGTAGTTAAAGAATTAAAAGATATTCTTTATGAGTCTTGATGTCAGTGTAGTTTAATCTAGCTTATTATTATAATTTGAATTTGCAGCTGCTTTAAAAAAGTTGTAAATAACGAAATTGCATCTGGATATTAATATAAAAATTTTGTGAAGAAATCTCTGCTCACAAACCTTGAGAAATAATGTAGTCCTTACGCATGATTTGTATCCATTATACACGCGTTATAATACCACCAGAATTTCCTTACTTGATCACACAACAACAGTAAATAAATATTTCTTCTTCATACATTTATATGCACACGATCAAAAAACTTAAATCTCCTGGAGAAATCAATAAATAAATCAAAAAATGTATATATAATTTTAAGTGACAAAATTAATAAACACTTAATTAACTTTCAAACGATGAAACATTTTACGAATAAAATAAAAACCAAAAGAAAAAAACAAATAAAGGTTTAAAATATTATAATAATAAAGATTGCTTTAAACACGTGCTCATCAAATGGGAAAACATGTTTAAAATAATCTTAATTAATCTAATTAAATCAAAAACTATATTTCTGAAACTAGACAAGACAAGGTTTTTGAATGGAAAATTAGCTTTTGATTTAGTTAGATCAATTAAGATTATTTTAGACACGACAGCAGCGTGTTTAAAGTAACCTTTATTATAATATTATTTTTAAAATTTATTTTTTTTCTACTGTTTTTTTTTTATTATTATTTTTAAAACGTTTCATCGTTTAAAAACTAACGGATATAAGTATTCATTAATTTTGCCAGTTATAATTATAAATTAATATTATTATAAATTTATTGGTTTCTTGAGGAAATTTTAAAGCTTATAAGGTATCTCTCCCGCTTTCCTAGCGTGCCTTCGTGGTGTAGTGCTTCTGCACGCTGGGCCGGTATTCCAGAGGTCCGTGGTTCGATTCCCGGCGAAGGCGGTTGCTAATTTTTCATCCTGCCTGTTTCCAAAAAATATCTAATGTATCTACAGTGGCGTCTGAACTAAAAGGGTGTTGGCACCCAGGATTTGGCGATTAGGTCCCCTAAAAATCCCAGTCGCCCTTTAAAAGGAGGAGTATATAAGGTATTTCTCCCGTTTTCCTAGCGTGCTTTCGAGGTGTAATGGTTCTGAACGCTGGGCCGATATTCCAGAGGCCCGTGGTTCGATTCCCGGCGAAGGCGGTTGCTAACTTTTCATCTCTCCGGCTCTTCCAATTAATCTAATGTCTCTACAAGCTTTCTAAATTTTTTCATTAACATTGATTAATATTGTTACGAAATGTTAAGGCGTGGTAAGGTAGCTTCCCCGCAAAACAGCTTTAGGGTTGCTAAAGCTGCTTTGCTTTGCTACAAATTGCTGAGAAGCATACATCTTTCTAAATCTATTCTTTATGAACCAACTATGTAGTAAAGTATTTAGCATATTGCAGATATATATATACATATATAGCATATGTATCCTAACACAACATATCAAGGTATACTTTACGTCACCCTTAAGTTGCAGCTATTGTTTATGGCAATCGAACGTGTTTAAGAGGCAATCCGTACAATGAATTTAAACACCCTTGGGTGCTTCCTAACAAATCTAAATTTGTTAAGCTATTGTTTAGGGATACACATGAGCGATATTATCACTTTGGAGTAGCTGCCACATTTTGACATCTTCGAGAGAATTATTTTATTATCAAACGAAGAGATGAATGAAATCCATTCTAAAAAACTTGCATAATTTGTAAAAGATTTAATGCTATCCCAGGTAAGGAAGTAATGACACCACTACCTAGAGATAGGATTATTGAAACTCCACCGTATGAAACATTTGGAATAGATTTTGTGGGTCCGATTTATATCAAAACTTCATTCTTGTTCAGAAAAGGCTTATAATGTATTATTTACTTGAGCGATAATTAGGACCGTATATCTAGTATTAATCACAAATTTGAGCACTGACCCTTTTACTCTAGCTCTTCAAAGGTTCATTGCACGAAGAGGACTTTGTAAAATAATTTACAGTGACAATTCTAAAACATTTATCAAAGCTGATTCAGTACTCAAAGAAATTTGGAAGAACATTTCAAAAGGAGTTCTAGACTATTTCTCAAAACACAAAATAACATGGAAATGTATTGTTCCTAGAGCCTCATGGTGCGGCGGAATTTTGGAAAGGATGGTTCGTAACGTGAAGACACCACTAAAAAAAAGGTCCTTAGCAGGACTTGTTTTACCCCTGAAGAAATGAAAACGACATTGACCGAAACTGAAGTAGTTACTAACTCTCGACTGCTGTATTATACCTAAGAATAGTTCTCCAAACCATAGCCTTTAATACCAGCCCATTTTTTGTAGCAAGAAGACTAACATCATTGCTTCATGGATTGCCTGTAATCACTGAATCTGAATCCAAAAGAAGAATGCTTACAAAAAAATTTAACAGCAAGCCATTAACCGCTTTTGGAAACGCTGGAGAAAAGAATATCTGTTAGAATTCCGTTCTGCGTATATCGAGTCACTCCATAAGAATCCTCATCATTTAAAGTTTGTGACGTAGTGCTGATCCATGACGAAATGTTACCGAAGCATCTTTGGAAGTGCAAGATGTATTAAAGATCTGTGTTTAGGACGTGATTCAAAAGTTAG